TTTTTTGCTTCGCTGGCGATCATCAAAATTCTATCATTTGATTGGCTGTTTATCACATGATGTGCCTCCGCTTTAGACGACCCCCAAAAATGGAAATCGATTCTAGATCGTTCCATTTAATTTTGATTGGCTTACAGTCACATTTTTGTTTGTGACAAAAAATTTTATACGTCACACGTGACCGATCGTCGAAATTAGGTCCCGCCCCCTACCCGAGTAATTGGTCACATGAAAAGTGAGATTTATCTTACTTTTCTTACTTTTATTACTTTTATTACTTCTATTACTTCGGGTAGATCGACGGAATATTGAATATTCGGTTTTTCTTTATTATAGAGGGGATAAAGGTTTTAATAATTATATAGTATAGATAGATAATGTAGAGGAAATTAACCTCGAATGTAAACAATACTTTTATTATAAATAAAGGGCTTTCCGCCCAGGGGGAAGAGGAGGAGAAAAAATGGTCCCAACAAGAATGGGCGATACCCCCAAGTAAATACATTTTCGCATAATAAACTTAAGTATCGGACCCATATTAAAAGTGAAACTATACCTAGTGATGGGCCACGCGCGGGATGCGCGGATTTTTTTTGGATCCCGCGCGGGATTTTTAATATGAGATTATTTGGCCTGCATTAGCATATCATCTGGCCTGCATTAACATTAATGGGCCAATTTCTAATTAGTAATTGATATACATAAAATTAATATGCGCGCATTTCTATATAGAACCTTTTATTTGTTTATCATTCTATATATATATGTGTGTACTTAATTTAATTTTTTTTGCCGTTGGTAGTTCTTACTTACTATTCCTTGTTATAATAAATATATAACTATTATTAAGTCATTCTTTAAATAATATTATTATACCATGGGTCTTAATAAACCAATTTGGCAGCATTTTACAAAACTCGGTACGCTTATCGAAATAGAATTGGATAAATATAAAGTATTCACTTTTATCGAAAAAAATCAGCAAAGATGAGTGACGCTGTTGAAACATATAATATTAGATATTGTTCTGGAATTTTAGCAGTTAATTCCAGAATTCATAATTCAATGTGGCTTTTAGAATCTTTTTAATTTTATCAGATTAAATATAGAATGGTAGCACACTCCGACAAAGTTTCCAGGTACGAAGCATTATCCTATCACGTAATCACGTAATGTATTAATCCTTCTACCATAACAAAATCGTCTTGCAAATTCTCGGTTTTGATTGGTTAAGGGCGGCCTGTTTCTTTAGAAAATTTCTATTTTTGGGATGAAAAACTTAAAAAGTTAATTCCGGCCAGAAATTAGTAAACAATTATGTAATGCGGGTCAAAAGTTGCAGATCCCAGCCGTTAACCAATCAAAACCGAGAATCTGATGACAATTTTGTTATGGTAGAATTTAGTGAAGTGACCCGAAATCCATTGGATTCCATTTTCATAATAAATCCAGTAGATATCAATTGGAGTTAATATAAAAATGGAATTCAATGGATTACGGGTCACATCACTAGGTAGAAGGATTAATACATTACGTGATTACGTGATAGGATAATTCTTCGTACCTGGAAACTTTGCTGGAGGTGTTACTATTTTAACACGATTTAATCCAATATATATAAATTTTACAAATTGTGGTTATTCACTTATGAAATTAATAAAATAACATACTGCATTTATTTAAGAATATAAACCTTTCGTGAGTTTTTTATAAATTTAATAAAAAACAACATTAAAAAAATATATCGTAACTCAAATCAATCACATAGCTAAATTATCTGAACTCCGTTTTCCTATTTAAAATTTAACATATAGCCGGGTTTTTTAGTCATATCTAACGTATATATCATTATCTTAGAATTGTGATTCTCTTTTTCAATTTTTAGACCGTTTTTCCATTTTGTTAAATCAATCTGAATGTTATCAATCTCCTCATAATCATAACATATTGTTCTATCAATCCACAAATTAAAAACTTTCAAATCATAAGTAAAAACATTGTTTTCTTTATTTGAAACTGAAAATCCTCTCAGAAAATTTCGGCTTTCACAGATCTGCGAACATTTCTTCATCAGTTCCAAATCAAAAAATTTGGCATCAGAATATTCAAACCGTTGAAGCAAGCTGACAGGCTTGTAATTGATAGTGAACGAAATCATCATATGTTTTTCTTTTGTTCAAATAAAGTCATCTGATTGAGCAAAAATCAATATATCTAAAAGCCAATTTCAGTAAAATAACTCAGATACTATAAATATAAACACTTTGATGAAGATTTCTTTTTTTAAAAAAAAATAAAAATGAATTTTTATATAGTCTTGATTATTGTGAAGGTTGAACTATATTTTGAGAATCATCAAAAACAATATGATCATCATTGTGATTTAAAGAAAAAAGATTAAAAGAGAAAAAATCATTACAAATCAAATAAATGATTGGAGCAAGAGTTACAAACACATAGGCAATTAACCCATAAACCTTGTAATCATTTTCATTAAGTTTTTCTTTAATATTCTCATTAATATCCTCCTCTAAACCACACAATAAGTAATTTATATTTTCTATTTCACTGTCATCTAAATATTTATCTTTAATTTGTCTAGTATTAATTACTATAGTTATTATAGATGCTATTATAAAAATATAGACTATTATACTAAGATAAATTGTTAAGTGATATTTTAAAAAATAAACAATACCTATGATAATTAGAATAGTGTTAAGTCTTAAAAAAACCTGAAGAAAACAAATATTTGAATCTAATATTTTAATTATATAGTTAATACGATTTATTTTTATCTAAATCTTATTCCACGTCCCACTATGATGACATGACGGGGATTTACGTGTTATTTAATCACACATTTTATCACTGTACTTTTAATAAGCTTATTTTACTAATTGTTATTACCCCATGTTCGCCATTATCACCTGGGGAAATAAGTACTATTTATAAAACTATATACAACAAGTAAAGTCACGTACTATGTCTAAAAAAACTTTGTTTTAGACGATAAAAATTTACAAAAATTTTATTGCTTTAATACAAACTTCTAAATCGTGATTAGAATCAACTATTGGTTGGTTTTTCAGTTTCGCTATTATTTGGCAGCATTTAAATATTGGTTACATCGTTTAAATGCTAAACTTTCTAGATAATCTATACCAAATATGACTTGTAACATATCATTTCTAAATTGTTATGTGTTACCATTACGCAATCTTGTAATTAAAATTTTTTATTGTATAAAACAGAATGCACAAAAATTGCAGTGTTCAAACACAAAGATATTTATCAATAATATTAACATTTTATTGGCCATTAAACATCCCAAAACCTATAACCACCAATAATTATATAACGAGAACTCGTTCAATTAAAAGATACTTTTATGATTCATTAATACAATCAAAGATAAAAATATGGTATAATTTATACGGCATACTAGTTTTATACATAAAAGCATTAAAGTTATAAATAGAGAGATCAAAAGTAATTTCTAATCTTGCAAAATAATTCTTCAATTCATAAGGGATTATTTCTGAGAAAGTAGAAGTTTTTTGTTTTAATAATGATTTTTTTAACTCAGTAGATACTTGTTAATTAACTGAGAATAATACACATAAATAAAGAAAAATAGGCTAAAAACTGAATAAATATACGAAAGGTTATCAATCAGAACAAATTAACTTGGAAGAGGCAAGAGAAGAATATGAATAATGAGAACGACCAAGTTCAAATAGCAAATGATATATCTATATGCAAAAATGTATTATCTCGTGTTCAACTAACAGGGCAATTATTATGTTGTCAGGACGGCAAATGTGTAGCAAAACAACAAGGTGCTGATTGTCCTCCTAATATTGATCGCACTTTGGCTCGTTGTCAAAATATTGTTTTTTCTGGTCGTTAGATAACGAATTACATTTATCATTCTGTTTTTCTTTGTCTTATTTTTAACATTGTCTC